TGCCCAGTGTGGCCCCCTCATCGGATATACATTTGTGGATGCCAGACATTCTGGAAGATGCTGCTGCAGTGGGCTGTTTGCCTCTGCCCAGTGGGGGAGGACTGGGGACTTAATTTTTTATTTTTTTATTCTTGGAAAGCAGGTATAGTAATGTTAAGTAAGTGATGTGCTGCAGTGGACATGGGCAACTCGTTTTCATTTTCCAGCTTAATGAAAAAAAAAGGAGAGGAGGGGAGGAGAAAGGCCCGCCAGCCTACTTCGTGCGAATGCTTGTCTTTTTTGGATTCTAAATGTGTCCCCAGACACTGAGATGGGATAAATATGTCAGCCACTAGAAAGTCCTGCTGTCGGGGTGAAGAGATTTCTCACCTCTTTTAAAGCAGACAGGGAAGGGGTTTACTAGCATGGCTCCAGACACCTCACGTGCCTTATTTCTAACTGGATGTGCTCAGATTCCACTCACCTCCAGCGTCATGACAAGGGATGGATGGGTAGAATGGTCCATCCCTTCGGGAGGGATGAGGGATGAGGCTAGCACATTTGAAGGAGGAGTCTGGGGGTGAGGATGTCAGTAACTGCATGCTTGGTTTTCTTCCTGGAGCGACCACACATGTTCTTGGGGATCCACCGAGCATTAGATGTGAAGGATGGGGAGCTGGACGAGGCGGTGGCCCGTGCCTTCCTGGATGTGTCTTCCCCGTGCGGAGATGGTACAGACACATCAGTCAGCGTCGGTGCCATAAAGGAAAACGGGGGACCGACTGAAAAATGGGGACCAGCTTCCCATTGAGTCCACACAGAGTATCAGAATGAGTGACATAAAGCTGGTGTCGAAAGACTGAGTGAGTGACACTCGTCAAACGTATTCGTTTGCTAGGGCTGCCATAACAGAGTACCCCGCCCGCGTGGATGGTTGACAATTCAGGGGTGGGGAACCTCCGGCCTGTGGGTGCTGTAAGGCCCACAAAATCATTTGGCCTGGCCTTGCCAAGGCATGAGGGGTGAGTTCATTCAATGCTTGACCAAATATAGCAGGCTCACGTTTAAGCTGACAATTTTGTACGGCCTGCGAATGATGTCATAAATACCCAGGTGGCCCTTGGCGGAAAAAAGGTTCCCCACCCCTGGTCTGCATACTAGGAATGTACCTTTTCCCCGTCCCGGAAGGCAGAAGTCTGAGATCAAAGTGGGCAGAGTTGGGTTCCTCGGAGGCCTGTGTCCAGATGGCTGTCTTTGCCCTGCGTCCTCACGTGGCCATTCCCCAGGATCAGTCTGTGTCCTGATCTCTTTGTAGGAAGGTGCCGGTCAGAGTGGATGAGGGCCCACCCTCACGGCCTCATTTTACCTTAACCACCTCTGTAAAGGCCCTGTCTCTGAATGGAGGTGCCTTCTGAGGGACTGGGGCCTAGGGCTTCAACATACGGGTTTGGGGAGGATGCAGTCCAGCCCCGAACCCCAGGGAAAGGGGGGTGGAAGAACCAGGGTCCGAGAGCAGCCTGGGCTGAGACCTCTCTTACAGGAAGGACATTTGTGTTCCAGGAAGTGGTTGGAAATGAGGTTCAGAGGGAGGCCGGGCTGGATCTCGCTGGGCCTGGAAAACCATGGCAGGAGTTCCAGATGTACTGTAAGGGCACCGAGAAGCCATCAGCAGCCTGTTAGAATCTCCCTCTGCTTTGAGGAGAAGAGCCTGGGGGCTCTGAGGGGTGAGTGTGCGCCGGGATTTCTAATCCCCGGCCTCATTGGCATTGTGGGCTGGCTGTTCTTTGCTGCCAGGGGCTGCCATGTGCATTGCAGATGGGCATCAGCATTCCCCACTAGACACCAGAACCCCAAAGTCTCCAGATTCTGCCCTGTGTCCTCGGGGGGGATGAAGGGGGAGGGCGACAAAATGGCCCCGTGTTGGGAATGACTGGCAGCTTGGATTGGCTGTTACCATCTGGGTGAGGCACACTGGGTGGGTTTGGGGGAGATTTTTTGAGGACAGAATCCATGGGATTGAACCTCTCCTTGTCTTGATTTCTCCCGATGCTTTTGATTTTGATGATATTGTCATTTCCCTAAAGTGGGGGGAGCTGTGCCCCCTGCATGCAGAATAGAGTTACTCAGAAGCCCTCAAAACACGTTCCTCTGTGTTGTCAGTCCCAGGCTCTGGGGATCCCTGGCCAGCCTGCAGAGCTCTGAGCCCCATGGCTGGCAGGGCCACCTGTGCGGGAGCCCTGAGCCCGTGGCTGACAGAGCCACCTGTGTTTGACAGATGTGATGTTTACGTCCCTGCATCACACCCTTCCATTTGTCAAGCCCGTGTGCTGCCAGCCTGTTGACTTTCAGAGCAAGCACATTGGAATCTAATCTGGCCAATTCTCTACCTCCGGAAACCTGTTTATCAAAACAAAATTTCACCGTCGCAGCGACTTCTCGGGCAGCTCGCCTCAGAGGAGCTAGCGCTGCAAGAGCAAGTGGAGGCATTGCTAACAAAACAGCATGGCAGTGATGGTCAGAGCCCTCAAGAATTATCTGCCCGCTGAAGGGGCTTGAGCGGTGGTTGGGGAACAGCCGAAACGTGGGGACTTTTCTGGGCTGTGCCTTCCATGTCTGGCCAGGACCCAGCACCTGGCTAGCCTTTGAGCTCCTTTCCTGTAGACCCCCCTCTGCCACCTGGAGCCCTTGCCTCAAGACAGGAAACTGTTTCATGTTCTTCTTGGGGTGGAGGGTGGTTTTCGAGGAGTCCAGTCTCGGGAGGGATCTGTAATGAGTGTGGGCTCAGAAGACAGAGCGCCATGATGACTTGTTGATGGAAGAGGGGCCATAGTGGCACAATATGTTTGCAATTCCCACAATCACTGCTCTTTTTTTTTTTTTCCCCCCCTCCATTCCCTTCAGAGCTCTCAGCCTGAGGGGCCCTTCAGTTCCATCCCTGTATCTATCAGCTCCCACTGCAATGCCCGCCTCTCTCCTCCAACTTTTCTGAAAGCCTTGAATTTTGACATTATCCAGTGGCTTTTTAAAGAATGGAAGGGTCCTTACAAAGGACCCTCTGGCCACAGAGAGGGGCCGGAGGAGTGGCAGGGAGGTGGAGTGTCAGGAGATTGTGGCAGTAACTGGTGAGAGAGGGGGCGTCCGGGGCTGGAGTTCTGGCTGTGGCCATGGAGACCAGCGTGCGGGACTGGGTGCTTGGCCGTCGGGGGATGAGGGAGTGTGGGGGAGGGGGGAAGGGACATTGAGGATTGTTAGGGTTTGGGTGTGGATAGTTGGGGCAGAGGGAGGGCCCTTCGCTGCAGCTGCTCTTCTAGAATTCTCTAGTGACCTCTGAAAGCTCATTTTTAGTGGAGAAACATGCCTGTCCATTAGTAATTCACCTGCACGGGGCAGCTGGTGTGTGGTGGTATCCACGGTCCCGGGGCTGATGGGGCTCTGCTTGCCTGTGGCTGTGTCATTCCAGTGGGTTGTTTCCCACTTGTTCGAGTTGCTAGACGTGTTTAGTATCAGCCCCATAAAACCGCAGTCACACAGGAGAATAAGAGCTCGTTTCCACTTGGGGAGATCAGGGAACACCCCAGAGGGAGAGCAGCACAGGTTGTGTGCTGGCGGGTGTGTAGAGGGTTGCTCGGGGACCCCTCGGGTCGAAAGGCACGCCAGGTAAAAATGATAGCGCTTGCCAAGACCAGTGGCATGGAAGATGTGATGTCATGGGTCTGGAATGCGATGCTTCTCTTTGGCAAAGCGTGTGAAAGGCTCCTGGGCCCCCCGTGACCCTCAGGCAGGTCTGGGCCCCTCTCATAGTCCTTGGCATTAACATCCTTAGTATCCCTACGTGCCCTTCCAGCCCTAGGCTTCATCTCTCTGCATTGTTGGGACCTAGCACAAGTGTCTGGTCATACATGTTCCATAAAATGCTCATTGCCGACTCGGGAGGGAGCCCTGGGAGGATGGGTCTTTTTCTCCCATTTCCCTTAAGACCGAGCTGCTTCCAGAAGGCTCCTTTTCTCCCAGCCAATGATCACACTGGCTCAGGCCCATCACATGGATTCCATTCTAGTTTCTTTGAAGAAATTGCCCCTCCCGAGTCCACTGGTGGATGAATGCGGCCCCACACCTCGGAGCCTGGCCTAAATCTCCAGGAACGTGCGGCCAGCAGCTCCGTGGCCTTGGCGCTCCCTCGGGGGCTAGAGGCCTTCGTGTGCTATTCAGTTTGGCCTCTTCTCCCCGTTGACCCCAGGCAGGTCGATTCTGTGGGCCGGGGCTCACATTTTCCAAAGTGAAATGATCTGCCGATATCCCTGTTGACTTGGCCCAAGTTCAAGGATTCTGCGATTGTGGAGTCCCGGAATCTGAGACCTGGCAGGGCCCGCAGTTCCCCCTGCTGTAGGCTTGGGGGGGGGTCCAGTGCTCACTCCTGTTCGGGAACCTTCAGCTTTGGTCACTGCTGGTGGCCAGGAAAGAATGTGTGTATTTGGCCAAAACCGGTTTGGCTCAAGTGGTAGAGCGTCGTTCTGCGGACTGAAAGGTCCCGGGTTCGATTCTGGTCAAGGGCATGTACCCTGGTTGCGGGCACATCCCCAGTGGAGGTGTGCAAGAGGAAGCTGATCGATGTTTCTCTCTCATCGATGTTTCTAACCCTCTATCCCTCTCTCTTCCTCTCTGTAAAAAATCAATAAAATATATATATTTTTTAAAAAAGTGTGTGTGTTTTGCAGCCAACCTCTTTGATGGAAAGAGAAGACAAGTCAGTAAGCACATAACATGTGTCCGATACCTGCCCCCCACTTCTCAATGTTTCCCCATTTAGTCCTCTCAGAATCCCCAGGGATGGGGCAGGGGATTTTATGGGTCCATTTCACAGATGAGGAAACTGAGACCCAGAGAGGCCTTACCTATACAGCCCACATGAAACAGGAGCCCCCTTTGGGGTGTGTGTGTGTGTGTGTGTGTATGTATATGTGTCTCAGATCCTTGCCGCCTTTGCCATGCCGTCTGATGGCCCTGTCCCCTTTCCCCCACAGAGAGCCAACTGCTCCCCGGGAACAACTTCACCAACGAGTGCAACATCCCGGGCAACTTCATGTGCACCAACGGGCGCTGCATCCCGGGCGCCTGGCACTGCGACGGGCTACCCGACTGCTTCGACAAGAGCGACGAGAAGGAGTGCTGTGAGTGCCCAGCCCTGCGGGGAAGTGGGTGGAGGGGGGGGGGGATCCTGGGGGAAGAGAGGAGGTCCCAATCTGGTTAGGTCCCCACATGCTCTCTTTGCTGCCCGGGGTGGGTGTGGGCCTCTGACCAGTGGTCCTGTCCTCTCCGCCTGCAGCCCTTCTCAATGCAAAAACAGGGGCTTTCGTGGCGAAGGAGCCACAGCGCTGGGAAAGCTACCTGACCCTCATCCTGGGGGACTGTCGTGGCCTTGACTTCACACACGAGGAATCTGAGACCTACCGGTTATGTAGCCTCAGGATCTGCCCGCCAGCAAGCAGCGGACCTGGATTTGAACCCAGGCTGCCTGACCCCCAGGCCCAGGCTGATAACCCTCTCTCACATCTTATACATTTGTGGAATGTCCTTGGCAGTTAAGTAAGAGGCAATGCACGGAGAGTGTCCAGTACAGGGCTGGTACTGACTAGCCCAGTGGTCGGCAAACTCATTGGTCAACAGAGCCAAACAGCAACAGCACAACGATTGAAATTTCTTTTGAGAGCCACATTTTTTAAACGTAAACTTCTTCTAACGCCACTTCTTCAACACAGACTCGCCCAGGCCCGTGATAGTTTGTGGACGAGCCACACTCAAGGGGCCAAAGAGCCACATGTGGCTCTTGAGCCGTGGTTTGCCGACCACGGGTTTAGATAATCATTGACTTCCGCGTGCCCTTTCCTCAGGCGAGAAGGTGGTGTGGGCATCACCCTTCAACCGGGCACCACCGGGACCTAGGTTACCTGACCCTCCCCGTGTAGCGCCCCTGAAATAGGCCTGAGATTCAGGCTGCGGGGGGCAGTCTGTGAGGAAGGGGACACCTGGGATGTGTGTGGAGGGCGCCAGGTGGCCAGCGGCCCCCCTCCCCGCCCCGGAGTGTGGATTCCTCTTCCTCCGTAGGGTGTGGCGCTGCCGCGTGGGCCGGGTCAGGGTGCCCTGCCAGGTGGGAAGCACCCCGGGGTGCCGGACTCCAGGTGGCCCAGTGGGCGGCTGCCTGGCGTCCACACAGCTGGATAGTGGTTCCTGGCCCTTTCCTGGGCTTCGGGCAGCAGGCCTCTGTCAGGAGGACTATGTGTGCATGTGTGGCTCCGAGGATGTCGTGTCTCTGGAGCCAGCTGAGGCATTGGCAGAGGAGAGGCTGATCAGGGGGCTTAGGACATCGCTGGCACCGGGGTTTGAGGCCGAGGCCGTTGACCTATGGGAAGGACCACTGGGCGTGGAGTCCACCTCTGCAGCCGGTCAGCAACCCCCCCCCCCCATGTGATATGTTTCCCACGGCAAGCTGCCATTCAGAGATGCCTCTCCCCCGTGCGAGGGTCCAGTGTTCTGGCTCTTCAGTGCTCTGCAGAGATAATTTTGGGGGCTGGGTCGGCAGTATTTTTTTTTGTGGGGGAGGGTTTCATTTTGTTTGTTGTGTATGGTTTTTCCTGAATAGACCACCATACATGCTGCATTTTTATTTTTATAGTTTCTTAAACAAGTACAGTCTCTCTCAGCCTTCTTTAGTGTCTAGCGTGGCTTCAACCTGGCTAGAAATGTCACGTCTGTCATTTGAGTTCACATGACCTGGCATGTGTAATCGCCATGACCTGTCCAGCACAGGAAGGTGTGGACTGGCCACTTTAGGGCCTGGCTTGTATTTGGACCTCCAGGAGGAGTCTGTGGAGAAATTGCAAGGCTGGGGGTTGAGATCTGTTTTGTTCGCAGCGCTGTCAGTAGCGCTCTGTGCTGCCAGTGCCGCTGTGACATGCTGTGTCCTCCGTCAGCCCCGGGCCATGATTGCAGAATCTGTGTGCAGGCGGGAAGGGGTGGTGGAAAGAGATGATAAAAAAATAAATAAATAAATAAATAAAAATAAAAAGATAGTGCTGGCAGCTGCCTGGCGCAGTTCGGTTTGGTTTGGAACAGGCTGGTCTTGGCGGTTCTCCATCCCTTTTTCCTCATTTCCTACCCTTAACCCCCAAGTGGAGTCTTGATTGACATTTATTTAGTCTTTTGATCAAAACAGAATTTTAAAAACCGTACACACAAACACATGCGTTTAAAACAAAACAAAACAAAACAAAACAAAACAAAAACCCTCTCCTCTGTTTCTTTTTTTTTTCTTTTTTCTTTTTTGGTCTTTAAATAAAAACAGAAGAACACTAGGACGTTTAGACAATAGAGGGAAGGAAAAGAAGTCCTTTAAAAAAAACAAAAAACACAAATGCTTAGCATTTTAAATTTCTGACATGGCCTTAAAGGCCGGGAGTCAGTCAAGAAAGATAGAGTCCAATTCCCAGCCCCTTCTCCCACCCCTCTCCTCCCAGCTATGTGGATTTAGGAAAGTTACCAGAATGTTCTAAATCCGGGCCATCGGGAGGATCAAATGAGGATTCCTGGTGCTTCGGTCCCCTCCTCTCCAAAAGGAGAATAAGGCTTCTGATGGCATTGTTGGGAAGTTTGAATGCATGTTCACCACACGGCATAGTGCCTGGTAGACAGCCGCCGTTACTGGTCAGTCTGCACAGACTTTTATCCGGCCGTCGTCATGGGAACGGGTGGTTGAGTAACCATTCTTCTTCACGTTGGAGGCCCTCGGCCACATTAGCATAGTTGGCATTCATAATCCTTGTTTTGTGAGCTTGCCTATTATTCCATCGAGTGGCTGCACTGTAAGCTAGCCACCTGCTATTGTTGGGGGTTTAAGTCTCTTTTGCTTTTTTGCTTCTGCTGATCAATAGGTTTAGGGCCAGTGGAGGAAGTTTTACATACGCGGAGGAGCAGAGGACGCAGCCAGGAGGGGCGGAGCTGAGGGCTCCAGGGAACCAACTGGCCCATCTACAATTTGTGCCACTTCCTTCCACGGCTTGCTCAGAAGTTGCAAAGCCCTTTCTCTGATTCTTTGGAGCAACTTGGTACTCAATGGGGAGGAGTGTGGAGGCGGCCCGGAGTCTCTCCAGGGAGAGATGATTGCCTCAAGTGCCCAATGAAACGGCTTTGGCCTTTAGAAGGTAATACACTCAAACAAGAATCCGAGCCCTTTGCAGAGAGCGAGAGAAGGGCCCAGAGCAGGATGTCACGGTGGGATATGAGGCTGTGAGCGCAGCAGAGGAAAGATTGTCATGAGACAAGGAGAAACCTTATCATCTGTACCAGTGGTCGGCAAACCGAGGGTCGCGAGCCACAGGCGGCTCTTTGGCCCCTTGAGTGTGGCACTTCCACAACATACCATGGCCTGGGCTAGTCTATTTTGAAGAAGTGGCCTTAGAAGAAGTTGAAGTTTAAAACATTTGGCTCTCAAAAGAAGTTTCAATCTTACTGTTGATATTTGGCTCTGTTGACTAATGAGTTTGCCGACCACTGATCTATACTAATAAAAGGGTATTATGCTAATTAGACTAGGAGACCTTCCTGACTTCCTTTCAGACTAAGCCATGGGTGGTGGGGCCGAGGCAGAGGCGGTTAGTGGTGATCAGGCCAGGACGGGGATGGGGGGGGGGCAGTTGGGGGCGAGCAGGCTGGCAGGGGGGACAGTTGGGGGTGAGCAGACCAGCAGGGGCGTGGGGAGGGGCAGTTGTGGCAAACAGGCCAGCAGGCGGAGTGGTTAGGGGTGATCAGGCAGGCAGGTGAGTGGTTAGGAGCCAGCAGTCCCAGATTGCAAGAAGGATGTCTACAATCTCACCAGAGATCTCAGATTGGAGATGGTGCAGGCTGGGGTGAGGGACAACCTTCTCCACCCCCCCCCCCACCTCCCCACCCCCTGTGCATGAATTTTGTACACCAGGCCACTAGTAAAGGTAATAAAATCATCTGTTGTGAAATTGTGGGGACAGGGAGGATAAAAACAGCAGGGTCACACAGAGTGGGTCCTCTTACAGAACTCCTCCAGCATCATAGAAGTTGTCATTCCGCTGTACTCATCTGGTACACATTGTGATACGATGGTTTTTTTAAAAAAGTTTATCGTTTGTAATGCTTAAATAGTCCATTCCTTTGCGTATAATGTCGTTTACTTACTCATTGTTCAGCATTTGTGTTTTTTTTGTAGTTTTTCACTGTTAGAAACTGTGTTCGTGTCCTGCAGGTGGACGCGACTCTCTCCTGCTTTGAGAAATCCTCTCAGTCTAGGTTTTCAGAAATGAAATGACTGGGTTGAGGGACAGAGGCTTTTTCTGTCTCCTGATCCCGGACCGCCCACGTGTTCTGCCGAGGGCTGGCACTGGCGTGCTCTTCCCTGGCACCGGCTGAGAACGCTGGCTTTCTTTCCGTCTTGGCAGCATCCGCTAAAATCTTAAAAAATATATGTTTATGGTTCATTTGATAGTTGAAAACAGTTCCATCGTTTACATTTAATTTTTTTATTATTATGGTATCTAAAGAAATTGAATGTTTCCCCAATACCTCTGTTTGCTGGTTGTATTTCTTGACTTTGTGAAATATCTGTTAATGGACTTGAGTACATTTCCATCTGGGTTGAGTCACTGCATTTTCCGCCTCATGAATCTGAAGAACCTCCCCTCCTTAGAGTTCTGAGAGAAGAGGCTCGTTTTGGGAGAGTTTGGAGTGTATTTCTGTTTTTGGTTAGTGGCGTGCCCTACATAATCGTTTTATCTGAATAATTGTTTCTGGCAGGAAAAGGAAGAGAAACGTTTTAGGAAAACGTGGACGCTTCATGCAAACACGGTTGTGATGTGCCCTTACTTGAGCTCCCCTGGGCTGCACACTATGTTATGGTGACTCAGTTGTCACAAGTCTGTATGAGGAGGACGCGGGGTCCCAGGGAGCTTGCACAGCTTGCCTGTTGCCTGAGCCCCCATGGCCTTCCCCCACCAGAGGCCACAGTGGGGTCCTTCAGTCTTTCCCTGCATGTGTAGCCATGCCACTCAGCTGACTGAGACCCAACTGTTGCCACCACTAATCCGCTTTTTTTTTTTTTTTTTAATGTAGAAACCTCGATGGTGGTTTCCCATGGAAACGATTTCTT